AATTACATCGCTGTCTATGGGAGGGTCAGAGAGCTCTCAGAATTCATCACAAATATCTTAAAGGCACAATATGTCATTTTCATAAGCAGCGGAGCTTTTATCATACTAGATACATTTAGTTCTGTTATAATGCTACTCTGTGCGCTCGTCACCGGTCTATTAAAACACACAAAATATTAAAGCGTCTTTGCTGTTTCCATGTTTTCTACAAAACCGGAAATCGAGGGGTTATGACGTCATTAGCAGGCGACACGATAAAAACGCTCCGTGCCACTAGTTAAAATTGCTTATTTCTCTGGATTTAAACATTCTTCGAAACATTTGGGATATTGTAAGTACACAAGTCAGTAAAATATATAACACTGTTCTAGTGTTTTTTGGATATTTTAATAAAAAAATCTTACATATTGTGCCTTTAATTTGTGTTCCCGAAGACGAACAGAAGTCTTACGGGTTTAGAACGACATGAGGGTGAGAAATTAATGACAGAATTTTCATTTTTGGGTGAACTAACCCTTTAATTCCACACTAACGCTCTGGGCTCTTTCCTCTTCGGCAGAGCTGATTTCTCCAGCCGAGGGTTTGCCTGAAGAGTCCAAGCCCAAGCGGGGTCGGCGCACCTGGCCGAGGAAGCGGACAGCGACGCACACGTGCACCTACGCAGGCTGTGGCAAAACATACACCAAGAGCTCCCATCTCAAAGCCCACCACAGGACTCACACAGGTAACATGCCTTTTTCTGTTGTGTGCATGTGCTTTAATAACAATCTAACACGCCCAAACACAGCACCAAGCGCATTGTCTGCGAGTGACTAGAGACATATATAGTGAGAGTACAGTTGGCAGGTGGTTTGATCTGCTATTCAAACAGCAGGTTGATACTGATCCCTGTTGAAATAAAACCACAAGCCTTGTCCGACTTCCCCTTCTATTCAATCAATGCGGGGATGAGCAACATTTGAATTGCTGTCTCCCTTTCTCTAATGTGACCAAAGTGTGCTTGATTGTTCTCGTTAGGACCTCAGGGGGAAACGCTAACTGTTGCGTGTCTGTGTGTTCAGGAGAAAAGCCGTATCACTGTGACTGGGAGGGATGTGGCTGGAAATTCGCCCGTTCGGACGAGCTCACGAGGCATTACAGAAAGCACACGGGCCATCGGCCGTTTCAGTGCCAGAAATGCGACCGAGCCTTTTCCCGGTCCGACCACCTCGCACTGCACATGAAACGCCATCTATAACCAAGACTGGAAGACGCCAAAAAAAGTGAAGATACCAGTGGACTAGTGAACCACGTGTTGCCTTTGAACAAGTCAACGAAACTAGAGCTCCATGACAAGCTGTGTCATCCACAGCATCAGGTTTGGGACTTTTCGTGTTCGCTTTATTTTTTCTCTCCCCTTTTTGTCGTTGTCTTCCAACATGCTGGCGATTCCTGCACACTGGGACAATACTGGAACGTGCGTCTACTTACCGACAAAACTTGGAGATGCCAAGTGCCAAACACAAGACTGGAAATATATGAATATCAGGGATAATAAATGGAAACATTAGAATATATGTATTAAAGAAGCCTTTAATCGACCTACATTCCATCACTCGATCACTGATCCGTCTTATGGATTGTTTTATTGCTCTCTCTAAAGCCATTAATTTCAGGTACAGAATAATTTATGTGTTACAAGATGGTGCTGAGTATAGCCAGGTGTATTCAGTAAGGTACCAAAGATAAAAGTGGATTTTAATTGAAGTCTTGGGGGCGAACGCATGACCTCTGTTTGGTGACGGCAATCT